TCCAGTCGTTAGTATTCTCATCATTATTTAGAACCTACATCAGGAAGATGATGTTTATTTAGATTTCTATATTCAACATAACTGCCATTTCTTCGAAAATCGGGTCGCAGGAATCAAGATCGTATCTGTGGTGGGCGTAAGACGTCCCCATTCTCGCCCCTCCCCACTGAGAGATGACTCGGCTAAAAGCGATCCACCGTTCAGTTGATTACATTTGATTGTTTCAACAAGACATATGGCCGTTTCAAACTCAGTAGTCCCATGAAGCAATGATTTTGAGGCACTGATTTGTTTGAGATTTGAAAATGATTGTTCTTCGATCCTCCGTTTAGATTTTATTCCATTTTTTTTACAGGACTGATTTTTCTGCTAAATTATGCTATCATGTCGTAGCAAACATAATTATTAGCACTCGCTGTTGCACTCGGGTTCCTGTCATAAAGTTCAATCAGTATGAATTGTTATTAAGAGCCGGAAGCATGCCAGGATGCGACACTGAATAAATACATCACTCGTGATTTGTTAATTTCCTGTCAAATTTAAGAGGGCAGAGGAGGGAAAAACCCTCTTTTTAAAGGGGGTGTAGCATGGCAAATGCTGGTTAACGCCATCTACGACTTTTTTTTGGACAACTGCACGTAAACGAATGGACTTGATTAACGGTCAGCGCGCTAGCGGTCGCGAAACAGATCAAAGTTCTCCTCACGTTTAGGTGTTGTATGTTGCACGCACGTGAATACTGCGGTCGTGTCGTCCGTAGTCGTATACCCGATTGACCCCGAGTCAGGCCACGGCAAAGAAACGTAGTCTCGTCATGCTACACCACTTTAAATCTACTCAGAGCATAGTGGATTCCACTGCGAAAGTAGTGGTTGATTGAATTTAATATTTTGAGAGTGGATTCCATTTTTTAAAGAGATGATGGGGAATGGAGAGAAAGAGAGAGAGAGAGAGAGAGAGAGAGAGAGGGAAGGGGGAGTAGGAGGGAGGGATCCAAGCAGGCGCGGATCCAGGATTTCTTAGGGGGGGGGCCCAAAATTGAAATTATGCGAGCCAAATATTGGTACGTAATGGTGACCAGCAGTGACATAATGCAGGGGGATGTAGGGAGGGGCGAGTTCCCCCCTCCCTACTCTGCAAAGCGCGGAAGCTATATATGACGTTTCATTAAAGTATTAGAGAAAGAAGACAATTCGTTGTACCGTTCTCGACTCTTAATCCTTCTCTTAATTCAGCCCCCCCCCCCTCCGCGCAGCGCGGAAGCTTTGACGTTTTATTAAACTATTATTGAAAGAAGACGATTCGTTATAGCGTTCTCGAAAATTATCCTCGTTTGAATGCAATTTTCCCCTCCCGCGCGAAGCGCGGAAACTTTTACGTTTCATTAAATCATTGACGAAAGAAAACGATTCGTTGTACCGTTCTCGACTCTTAATCCTTGTCTTAATTCAGCCCCCCCTCCGCGAAGCGCGGAAGCTTTGACGTTTCATTAAATTATTAGAGATAGAAGATGATTATTGTACCGTTCTCTATACTCTTAATCCTTGTCTTAATTCAGCCCCCCCCCCTCCGTGAAGCGCGGAAGCTTTGACGATTCATTAAATTATTAGAGATAGAAGACGATTCGTTGTACCGTTCTCTATACTCTTAATTCTTGTCTGAATTTCAAAGATGTTTTTTGTCTGCTCCTTTTTCTCCCTACGTCCTCTTCCTTTCCTCTCCTCTCTATTTTTTTTCTATCCCCCCCCCCCCCCCTGGCTACGCGCCTGCGGTCAGATAAACAAATTTTGATACCTTGTCCGACCCGAGAAGCTCAGGGGTTTTAGGCATTTGATTACGGTCAGATGAACATATTTTTATACCTTATTTGTGACACTGGCAAGACACTAATTGGCGTGAGGTCCAGCGGGCGAAGCCCCCAGAAAACAGGGGTTTAGGCATTACATTTCCGTCCGATTAGCATCTAGGGGATTATAGGGCCCTAGGCGGGGTGCAAGGGACGGAACCCCGGAAGCTCAGGGGTTTTTAGGCAGCTAGTTAACTATTCTTTCTTTCTTGCTCTCTTTATTTCTATTTCTCTTTACTATACCTTTTCAAAAAAAAGTGGAGGGGGGGGGGGGGCTCGAGGCTTGCATTTTTTTATACGTTTCAAATGTCTAGTCCGGTTAAAAATAGCACGTAATGATTTCATTATTTGACACGTACTTCACATTGATTTATCTTATCGATAAGCGAAACGATTTGCTTTAGTATCATATAACAAATATAACAGTAATGACAAGTATGGTTTTCCTGAAAATTGCATCATACAATGTATATTCATCGTTATGGAAAATGTTGTATAATATACAACAATGGGCATTAACATTTTCCAGACCATTGATTTAATTACGTTTAATATTGAAGCTGTTGCCCTTTGTATATACATGAACTTGCAATAATAAGTAGCCTTGAAAGTGTCGCAATAAATCATGTGTGAGTGAGCTTGAAGTTAAATGGTGTAGGTTTGTTTGAAACTGTATAGCCTTTACTCTGTTTTTAATGAGATATATCTCCAATCAAATCAAATCAAACTGAGTGATGTTATCGTACAACTAAACAATATCAATCTTCTGTTCTCCTAAATAAGCCTTGGAAACTTGAAAAATTGCATTACAATGTGAATTCATTGTCAGTGAAAATGTAATACAATACACAACAATGGGCAAATTATTGTTTCCAGACCAATGATTTAAGGAAGAAGAACTTACATTTTATATTGAAACTGTTGCCGTTGTATATACATCAGGCGCGGATCCAGGATTTCTTAGGGGGGGGGGGGGGCAAAATTTGAAATTATGCGAGCCAAATATTGGTTCGTAATGGTGACCAGCAGTGACGTAATTGGGGGTGGGTGGGTGCAGGGAGGGGCGAGTTTCCCCCTCCCTCCTCCGCGAAACGCGGAAGCTTTGACATTTCAATAAATTATTAGAGAAAGAAGACGATTTGTTGTACCGTTCCCAAAAAATAATCCTCGTCTGAATTGAGTTTTTCCCCTCCCGCGCTAAGCGGAAGCTTACGTTTCATTAAATCATTAGAGAAAGATGACGATTTGTTGTGTCGTTATCCCTTTTTTTTCTTTTCTTCTTCCTCTTTTTTACTTTCTTGTATCTCCTCTTTTCCTTTTTTCTTTCCATTTCCTTCCTTCTCTTTTATTTTTTGATTGGGGGGGGGGGGGGCAACAGCCTGAGAGGCAAGTCCTTTTGCTCCCCCCGATCTACTTCTTCCCTCTTTTCTTTTCTTTTTCCTCTTCTTTTTCCCTTTCTCTCCTCTTTCCCTTTCCTTTCTTTCCTTCTCTCTCTCTCCTTTTTTTTTTTTTTTGCGGGGGGGGGGGGGGGGGGCCAAGGCCCGCTCGTCCCCCTGGATCCGCGCCTGGATCCAAGGGGGCCCGGGGGGGGGGGGGCGTCCAATCCAAACGAAATGATCGTTAATATGGCTCCCTCAAAATTCGATTTCTACTCGTGTACTTTAGAGTAACCTTACAGGTTCAAAGTGATGTGACCACATCGGTTTATACATTCCACGCAAACATGATTTTGTCTGCTTTATTTCATTGAACTTGTCAGTAATCCGACAGAAATTCTCATTATAAGCAAAAGCATTTTTGATAAGCAAAAAACGTTTACAGTAGAGTGTCCTTTGCATATCTTGTTTTTGTTTTGTTCAAATATATAGGGTTGATTCAGACATGAGTTTAAAAGTCATCTATTTTGATAAATTCTATGATCTGAAGCCATATAAGATATTCTTCAATTCGAACCAGATAGTTCCCATACTAATGGCCGATAACGAATATATCGGCTAACTTTTCGCTAAAATAATGTTGTCTTAAATCGTAATCCGACATTATTTGATCTGGTGACATTGGTTGCTTTGGCCTTACATGATTTCAGGTGGGGGATGAACGAGCAAAAGAAATTCTCTGAAAAATGATACTTCACCCTAAATGCCGCCATGCCCCATCTATAATCCACATATAAATTATGCCTATAATGTTGACCTCGCGAAGTACTTCCTGTATGCCTTCATAGTGAGTAATGTAATCATAATTTCCTCATTGTCATAAGGTTATATAACGTGACTCGCAAAATAAATCACTCCTACCATGAACCTACTAAGAATCATACGCACAATAAAGTAGACCGACTACTAGAAGCTGTTGTTCCCATAAGGAAACGCGAATTTCAATAAGTCAAGAAATTAGCATGAAGTGAAATGTTTACTTTCAGTTGTATACATCACGCAACTTCTCATCCCATCCGTTGTTACTTTGCCTTCATTCTTTTTTTCTTCGATACACTGATAGATGCGGGAGAGAACAAAAAGAGAGTGATAGAGAGAGAGAGAGAGAGAGAGAGAGAAAAGAGAAGAGAGAGAGAGAGAGAGAGAGAGAGAGAGAGACAGACAGACAGACAGAAAAGGGGGTGTGGGTATATGGAGGAGCGTGGGGCGAGCAGATGGACTACGGCGTCTATTCTGGAGCTGGGGTACTCGGACGAAGAAGGACATAATATATTGATACATAATTCATGGGAGATTTATCTTCAAAGAAATATAATCTTCAATATCCCTGGACCCCCCCCCCTCCTAACTCCCCCTATCCTCCGTCATGCAAATGGTAGGCCTCATTTTATACGACAAGCAAAATCCAACGACGGTGCCAAGCGATGATTCATTAACCCATAACAGTGGCGGCACCAGGTCGAGTAATTTGAGGCGCACATGCATGTCTCAAAATTATTTAACAAGTAAAAGAAAAAAAAAGAACGTTATCACACACCCCCCCCCCCCCCAAGCCAGGTGACATGTCTCTATAAAAGTCTCGATCTGACCAGCTCCAACAAAATAGTTATAATAATCTTTTTTCTGAAGGGAAGGGGGGGGGGGGGGCTCCCTGGCGCCCCCTGTAGTATGTTGCTTATGTTTAACAAGCCCGGAACTTTGTGTCACTTACTTTCTAGTTCCAGCTGTTTGTTCCTGGTGAGCTCATTTACTTGGTGGACCCAGTGCGATCTCCAGTAACAAACGCTGTTCTTCTGCTTTCCTATATCTCCTCAAAGAAGCTAACAATCGGTGAGTAAAATCGATCAAAATAGATTGTCCTATATCATTTTCCTATATCAATAGAATAGACTTAGCTGGAAATAAATCAGATTAATCTTGGACTCACGTTTCTAAACTAGTGTTTTTTTTTTCGTTCCCTCATTATTTTGTTTGTTTGTTGTTTGCGTTTAAATCTGTGTTGATCAATAAATAGGCTTACTTACTTAATTTCTTTTCTGTTTGCAAGAAAAACAAATTATCTATGTGTGTTAGGTATTTGATTACAAATTCGCTCTAAAATTACCTTATAATTATAACCACACTTATGGATGTTGTGATGTTGTAGTTATAACGTCGTGTTATTATGAACACCCTGCCTTATTTAATTTGTGTAATGTTTATCGTGTTCATTGTACGTGCATGTCTATTCAAAGAATTTCGTGACGTTAATATTCGAATTCATGTTATTAGTATTATGATGGTAAATTACCTGTTTTTCTTATAAATATGAATTAATCTGTAGAAATATGAAAGCGTGCAGGAAGATTTTCCAGTCTATTTTTGCACTTTGAAATAATTCATGAAGTACCTTTAGTATAACACATCAATAACGCATGTATTTCGAAAGGAAATATATCACCTAACTTTAATTTAATGCTCTTAAATCATTTATGTTACATTTAAGACATATTTGGCTATCAAAGCCTCACATACCCACAATGTATCATTGTATTTTGATACCGAAAAAGAGATGAACTGAAATAAATAAAAACACTGATGGGCCCATAAAATATAAAATTTGGGCACTTTGTGCACAGATCATCAAAACTCAGTCGGTGACTTCGTTTTTGGCATTAATTTTACTTTAGAATCCGCATTAAAAAGTAAGTGTACACCATTTCCCTGTTGGAGTCGTCGATGTACCCAACTGTTATAGGGTTCGTAGTTTGTCTCTTTGTCTCTTTAAAGGTTTTTAAAATAATTTTCTTTGTTGTTTCGGAAATGATGTGCCAATGATTAAATATCTTCATTATTTGGTCCGTAAGAGGAAAATAATATATTACAACAAAGATGATTTGTTGGTGTTTTTTCAACAAAACATACTTACATTCGTTATACTTGACATAAGAACTGAATTCTTCGGTACACGTACACACCATGCAGGATAAAAACAACCTATCTAAAGAAATAATGCAAAGAAAAACAACCGAACATTTAATAAGGCTGATAGACTTTAAGTAGATATTCATTGATATTAAAAACTAACTTTATTTTCATTATTGCAAAGTTGAAAGTTTGATTCGACAAGGTTATCAATATTCAATGCTTGGAAACATTCGAAGTAATGATTATTATAAATTACAAAACGCTTAAATACAGCCCCGACATAGCACCTGAAGAGCTCTCCGAACGCTGCTAAGATGTGTGAGATCACAGTATGGACACGATTTGCACAAGCAGACGATGTCCCATGACATTGTAGCGCCCGTCCCGAGGAGGGGGGCATACCTATTAAAGGAAGACAAAATAAGAAAGGTGTTGACTGAGATGCGTGGCAAAAACAAAGTCTTTATTACTTAATCTTCTACAATAACAGTCTTTTCTTACAATAACATATATACGATCAAATGGCATAACAATACTCTTCAAGTATTAAACACAAATAAATCTACCTGTTCGCATACATTGAATTAATTAACTCTCAGTGTTCTTACTATATCACTAAGAACATCATCTGGTTAGTTTCATTACTTTACTATCTCTAAACGAAACTATCCTTACTTCCATGCTTTATTTAAAAGTGCAACTCTTCATCGATCTCATAATCATAACTTGGCTACTAATAAATAACTTAACCCTTATCAAATGTCTATAACATTGCGGTATCAGTCAATCTACTTTAGCTTCTAATCATATAACTCTTCACTTAGCGTCTCTTTCAAGAAATCACATATATAGACATAATACAAGAATGTTGGCATAATCATCCCTATACTATTGCCTAATAAGCTTTCTACTCTTTACGCTCCAAGACTGAGGATCCCTTGTGCACATAGACCCTTAGAATGTAATTCTACTCTCAGCCTTCACTAATCCCTAAATTCACAAGTTACTTCTTGTCTCAGGACTTCACATTAATACTGAATAAACTTATAACTCTTCCTTAACTATAGCTCATGTATTTTCCAATAGTCATCTGCATCACTTTGATCTAATACTATCTTTTTCAGCGAGATTACTGAACTTGAAAAGATACATCTTCAACAACTTATATCCTAAACTCCTTACAATATTCACAGAACTGGCAAATAGTCTTAGTCTGCAGTCTGCACTAATTATATAGCTTTAGCAAACTTACAACCAATATTACGAATTCCTCTTACTGTATTAATCTCATCTTCACATACAGTTCATATTCTAATTCTAAACAACAACCAATAGTTTTACTAAATACATGTATATTCATTTCATGGTTATATACAAAGCAAAGTGAGAGTGAAAGAGAAAGGGTGAACCATACAGAGAGAGAGAGAGAGAGAGAGAGAAAGAGAGAAAGAGAGGGAGAGAATATAAAGAGAGAGGGGGGGGGGGGAGAGAGAGAGGGAGAGATATATATATATATATAGAGAGAGAGAGAGAGAGAGAGAGAGAGAGAGTAATTCCCAATAACATTTAACCTGAATTATCATTCCTAACAATATAATACAATGAATTCCAGACAGTGATTATGCAAGTCTTCAACTACAATATTTCATCAACCCATCCATCACTAGCTAACTATTAGACAATTTGACCATGTGTTTCTCAACAAGTGTATTTCCCAACTCAAATCCTTTGTCTTCTCATTTTGCTGACTCTACCAAACTTTCATTCCCGCCTAAGATACCATTTCCAGCATGGGTCAAAAACAAACACATTCTATCTCTAACACTTCTCAACATAGCATTTGGGTATAGCATATACTCTATCTACACTGTGTGCGTGTAATGTATTGCAGTGGATGGTCAAGCTTGGGGGAGAGGGGATTAAGAACTCTGATAAGAAGTTGTGTTCACATTGCACGCACTGCCATAACCTAATAACACACTAATATTATACGCATGGTGCGTCCACACTCACTCATACCATAATACTGTAAGTTAAAGATAATCTGGACTTGAACAACTCATTTCGCTATTCAAACTGTATCTAATTCGAACTAGAATATATAACAATGTGCTTTGGCATACTGCATAGTAAATGGCACATGTCCTTGGCTAAGAATATATATATACACATGAATATCGAGCAAAAGACAAATATACTGACAGTAATAAAGTATATTCTCTTCTCAAAACTTACTTAAAATGTTGTCTAAATCAAACAACATAATCATCAATCTCACACACACGATAATACTTTCCTATCATTTCTACAAGTGATTACTATGTTCATCAATGACATTATCTCTCCCCACATGGCATCTCTGCCCACATGGCATTTCTTATATTTCCTCTCATAGTTCACATGTCATATAATCCAACAAGTCATTGGCAAAGATCATTAATATCTCTTTTTACACAGTAATACAAGATATGTGAATAGTGAAGCTAATAGTTTAGAAATACACATATTATGAACAACAAGAATATAACACAATTGAATAATATAAGATTCTTTCTTACCTATTAAAGGAAGACAAAATAAGAAAGGTGTTGACTGAGATGCGTGGCAAAAACAAAGTGAGAAGCCACTCCTGGTATCCCAGCTGGTGTGTTTAGGTTAGTTGTGGGTGAGGCCACTCTCGCAGGAGGGGGTACCTAATTAACTAAGAGGAGGGACAATATGGGGGCTAGAAATATACTTGTGTCATACATACATAGTCAAAGATATACAAAAAAAATAGGGGGGGGGGGGGTATTCTGTGGGGCTCCACACCTTCCCCTCCAAAAATAAATGTCTCCTGGACATTTCAACTTCCAAACATTTACATCAATTCATTAATATAGCACAACAATCTAATGTTCATATAGTTCTCGTTCAATGTCGTTATGAACTTAGGACAGATCAGGGAGGTGAGACTTATCACCAAAGTCCATGAGAGTCTATGTCCTTGCAACGCTGACAGATCATCGTGCTCCAATTCTTCTGCGAAATACATGTAGTACATCGAGTTCATATATATACACTTGTTGCAACTTGTTATAGCGAAACCTAATAGGTACTTGAAACCTCAGAATTACATATCATAATATCATATCAGAATTACGTGGCTTTTTCTTCCATACAAATAAACTTTGCGAAACATTAACCCATTCTACGGGCGCGCCTGACAAACGGTGAAGGTTTCTTGGAAAGCTCGAGACTCATTCCGAAGACTTTATCACATAGATCAATTGATCACTATCGAGTGTCATCGCTTGTTTCCTTATACTACACCACAATTCATGAAACGATTTACAACTTGTTTCATCTTACTACTTCTCATTACTCGTATTTCTGGTTTACTAAACAGCTAGCACATGATTCTAAATAACGATGCATCTAATGTAAAACAAAATATTAAAACAAAAAAGAATCCGTTTGAGGCCTTCCTCGCGGGTCGAATGATTGACTCGCTCGCTGGAAAAATTGAAGTTGGTCTTCTGTCATCTAACGCTGGTAGTGGGTTGGTTGCTGGTGGGCTACTGGCGTCTGTATCTGTAATGGCCTTTGATGGGTGTAGGATGGTGGGTCATACCGGTACTGGAACGGTGCTGGGGGCTGGGCTGTTGAGGGTGGCGGCTTGGAGAACCCCTGGACGTCCTTGACTCCACTCACTGCTCCGCCATCTATTTCCTCCCAGTAAGGTTGAAGCTTTCCTTGGCCACCTGGCGGGGCCAGACTTCGCACCAGGGCCCTATCCCCTTGCTGTAGCACCCTGCTGCATACTGCACGCTCGTAGTAGCCTTTTCTCCTCTCTGCAGCTTGTCCCATTCTCTCTGATGCTGAGCCAACCTCATTTCCAATCAGGTTCTCTCCGTCACTCTGTCTTCTGGTCCTGTATCGTT